GGCCCCGGGGCCTCAGCCATTCACCGCCACCTAGCCGGAAACCGGCACCGGCACGTGACCGCCATGGACGGCCCATGGGCGGGATCACGTGACCGGCGCTGTTCGCCGCTCAGCGTGGAAGGAGGCGACCAAAAGCGTCCAGTGCCGGCGCCAGAGCGGTCCCGGCCGAAAACAGGCCGTCCGTAATCGAGCCTCGCGCGGGTGCAGCCACTAAACATGATAAGCCGCTTAGGAAGGGCGTCTATCAGTGTCCACCCGGTCCGAAAACAGGGCACTTCCTCTCGAGTCGAGAGACTTTCCAACCCTTACGTCGGTGCCAGCCGCTTGCCGCCCAGTTACCAGACATCTTTAACTGATATCTCTGGAACTCTGCACACCGGACTTTCGGTTAATCTTAGCTTCCGGTGGAACCTAAAAACTACTGATTCACGATCTACATACAAAGCCAGGCACAATAAAAAAACAGCTCTTGTTCAGACATGAGGGAGGTAATTAAGTGTTGATTAAACAAAGTAAAAAATAAGTTTCAACTTAATTGCCCGGAATAAAAACATCTTTTGACTTTCGAATGTTTTGCAATTAGAATAAGAATATTGCTTTAAAAGTAAAACATTTTAATACTGCCTACATTTCAACGAATGAAAATACATCCAAAATGACTAGAAGCCTGCCAGAATGAATTACAGTTGAGTGCTTGTGTGCCATTTTGCTATAAAAACAAAACAAAAATGTTTTCATAGTTATCGTGCGTACTCTATAAATTTGGGAGTTGTTATGGGCCAATTTGTCCATGGAATGTCAGCACAGAAAATACATAATTATCTTTAGTGGTGAGCTACCTCCTAATAACCGTTTATCTGGCGAATGCACCTAATTTGACCAAATTTGCACCGAACCTCTTCTATAACAAATATCTTCATAGCATGAATTTATTTCAGTATTTTAATCGAAAATAGCGTCTGATTATTTGAAAAACGAGGTCTACAAGCATCTGTGCAACCCAAACGGACATCTTTTCAGAAACACAATAAACCTTATTTGACCAAAACTGCACTTAACCCTATCAGTGGCAGGGGGGTTGTTTTCATCCACCCCTCAGGTTTTTCGGGAATATCTCCGAAACCGCTGAAGCTACGATGCTGAAATTTTCTGACTTTTCCTAAAACTAAATTGGGCACATTCCCTGAAAACTTCAAGTTCATAACTTTACCAGGGGCGGCTCCAGAGCACTGGGAATTGGGGGGTCCTATTCGTGAAGCGAGTCATTTGGGCGAAGATCACGATGCTGATGTATTATAACTGTATGCACCAGTTTTACGAACAGTGAATGAAAGGTATCATGTGATAACATATACAAAGTTATTGTGCATCCTCTTTTGACACGTTTTTGCTATAATAGGCGGATCCAAGCGTCCAAAAAGGGGGGTTATGTTTTACCTCCCAACATAGGTGCCCTGACACCGCCTATGCATGACCAATACAATTGTACCTTATTTACTATACTTTTTGTGTACCCCCAATCTCAATGATCTGTATCCGCCTATGATTTTTGAAAATGCATATTTTTAGAATCCATGTGAATTCCTGGTTCATTCTCTATCGATCGGCAAAAGTTGCGTTAAGATTGGTTCAGAAACCTGGCCGTGATAAACAGTCTAAAATGTATCTGCAATTTGCCCGTTTTTACCCCCCTCTACCCCCCTATTGACATTTTTTAATTTTTATTTTTTTTTAGAAATGTAGATCACGTTGAGCGAAATCGAATGCCGTTTGAATTTTGAAAATCGGCCCGCTAGATCTCGAGATATCAGGGGGGTCGTAAACAGCCCCCCCCCCTGCCACTAATAGGGGTAGCCAGGAGCCTGCCACTAATAGGGTTAATCTGCACAAAATGTGTACCAGATAACCGTCGTGAAAACGACTTGTAGGGGAGAGTGGGGAAAGATGCCAAGGGTTTTGCAATGTCATATATTATTCGAAAATGACGATGGGAAAGCAAAAACTTGGAGTTTCAACGGAAGCCGACATCAATGTTCTCCAAAAAATATCACACTTTCGTGCCTGAAATATGATGGCTTTTTTGCTATTCAGCATTTTCCTGAAGAAGTGAAAGGGGCATCTTACCCCAGAGGGTGGGAAAGACGCCCCCTGGCGTTGGGGAAGATGCCCCCTGCACTATAAGTGACATAAATGGGCACGTGAATTACCTGAAGGAATCAGTAGTCCCTTCGAGCCTGCGGTAGACACTAAACGCTATCATAAGGGCCCTAAAAAGTCGTCGTGAGGGGCTTCAGAGGTCATCGTGAGGGCCATCATGTCCAGCGCGGCCAAACGAGCCTCCGTGGTGGCGTTCGGAGACCGTCGTGGGGCCCTTATAGGTCTTCATGATGCTTGAGGGCCCTCAAGCCCATCGTGAGGACCTCAGATGCTAGCGCGGCCCGTGGAACCAGCGTGGGAGCCCTCAAAGGATTCGTGAGGGGTCTTGGAGCCAATAATGGGGCTCACAGAGGCCGTCATGAGGGCTCTCAGAGTCAGACGCCGCCCAAAAAGTCGTTGTGTGGGCCGGGAGACCGGCATGGAGAGCACCCGACCGTATTGGACTCTCAATAGTCCCAGATCGGCTTTTGTCTCTCATCACAAGTATGTAATAAATGATTCGACGGGTTGCTTGAAGGACAGCGTACGGAAATAGTCTTTCCCCATCAGGGCAGGGGGCATCTTTCCCCAAGGTACCGAATTAACATTTAATCAGTACAATTTGTTAGCCATAAAACAACAACCTGAAACAAACTGGTTGGGACACAGTACATGCATGTTAATGTATCTCGACCATAGCAAGGGTGATAAAAATTATTTACCTTCTTTGATATTTACAATGTTTTGACACCAAAATATTTTTCGAAAGCAGCAAATAAAAAACATGCAATCACCAGCCAACCGTTGCTCAACTGAGCTTCGCAAATTTTTGTGCAGTTAACAAGACAGGCTTCCGCTTTACGCTAAGAACATTAATTTTCATGTTAGATTATTTGTTTCGCCGCTAGAGGGGGTGGGGCGTCTTTCCCACTCTGGGCATCTTACCCCACTCTCCCCTATGTATGTCCTAAAAATGACCGAATTGCTTGCATACTGATTTTCACGACTTTTTAAGCACCGCTTATTTCTTGTGATTACATGGCCGCCCAGGAGCACAGTTAGAGTTAGGGGGGGTGGGGCACAAAACGCCCCGTGCACGATCGGACCAACGAGGGTCAATTGGGTGAACCGAAGGTCAATTGAGATTTCATGCCGCGTGGCGCTAATCGAAGCCGCGTTTCGATCCTACCCTCGGTGGGTGTCGGTCGGTAGATATTAGCCGTTTTCACGACGGGCTATCCGGCGAATGCACCTGATTTGACCAAATCTGCACCTAATCTCTTTTACAGCAAATATCTGTATTTTATGAATTTAATTCAGTGTTTTCATCGATGATAGTATCTGATAATATGCCAAAGCAGGCATATAAGCAATTAGCGCAACCCTAGCTGATAGCTAGTAAGAGACACACTGAACCTGATTTGACCAAATCTGCACCTGATCTGTACCAGATGTGCACCAAATGTGTACCAGATGGCCGTCGTGAAAACGGCTACTGCAAATTCAATGCTCATCCATCACTAATAAACATTTTTGTTTTAATTTTTCATGTCAAGGAGGCATTTACTCATTTAATTTCCCTCAAATCCTCAATGCAGCCGACTTAGGGAAACAATTCTTTCCACTGGTATTTTATTCTTATCAACAAACACATAAGTACATACGTAGTACACAAAATTGACATATGTTTCATAAGCAGGTAGTGTATTTACGAGAGCTGATTATGGCAAACATCTCACGGATACGATAAGGCTCAACATATGCGTGAGAAGAAACTAATGACTAGTGTTTAGGAACTACAGTCGGCAAATTAGAAGGAAATACATAAGAACTAAAAAGTTGATATGCGTGATATTTTATCCATGGGAAAGGTAAGAACACATACGGGAGTTGTTCCTTATTTATGCTCAGAACACCACATTCGCCATATAGAGCTGCCAAAAACATGATCACAATAACCTCCGACGCGTCATGGTAGCTAAATACTGACTAGAATCCTCAAATCGGTGCTGGGTACATCACACGTGTCACATGAATAAAACAGTCAATCGAGAAAGATTAGGTAAAGATGTAACATTATTTCCACGGCACACGAAAATTAAAAATAACTAAACAGAATTATTTTCAATCGATCGAGTTCATAAATACACCCATGATACGGATCTACTATAGCTCATGCACGAAATGTATGTACACCGTAAATATTTACAGCAAACACGAGTGTAGTATCTGTATCTTGTGCATTAGCATCATCACCATCAAAAGACATCCCTGTCCTAGCGATGCCTCGAACGTTCAACAACACACCCAAAGGTACCCGGCTCTGACTAGTCGCACCGTCCCGTCCTGCACTCGAGTGTCGCCCCGTGCTGGTGCTGTGTCGCCCAGTGCTGGTGCTGCTCCGACCAGCGCTCATGGAGCTGCGCTACACGAGCGCTGGCGCTGCGCTGCGCCGGGTGCTGGTGCTGCGCGTGCAAGTGAGAGCGCAAATATTGCAATACTTGGTTCTGGTGACAACGTGACAAGACAGGTATCCCTTACTCATTCCAGTGCTTCTCAATCTCCATCATGCCTATCAGTTAGATATGGTTCCCGATCCAATGATTATCCCCCTCCCCACAGCACTTGCCCTAAAAATGGCTTTTTGGATAGTTGCTTACCTCCGTTCTGAAAGTCATGTGAATAGTTTATAATGGCCTGATGCCCTCCCTAAGCAGATAATAAATTCAATTGCCCTCGACAACACCTAAGCTGTGTCGCATGATAATCTACCCCGTAAGTATGGAATGTCTACGTTTACCCTGCTTTTACCCTCGTCCCGCCCCACCCTCTCCCTGTCTGTCTGCCGCGCTGACCTCTCCCGCTCAGACCAGGCCGGACAGCGACGGTCGACAGGTGGGTGTGTACGGAGAGGAGGGAGGGTAGAACAGCGGCCCGTACCCTCCGAGCGACACGGACGGCGCCGGCTGCGGCCCGCCCGCCGGCGGCGGCTCCGGAGCGCCCACCGACGCCGTCGAGGCCGACGCCGAGCCGCCGCCGCCGCCGCCGCCGCCGCCGCCGCCGCTGGTACCGCCTCCCTTCCCGGCCGCCGCCGCGGCGCCCTCGTGGTACAGAATCGGCACGCGCACCAGCCGCTGCGCCGCGTGCGCCATGTTGGCCGCCTCCAGCTCGGCGGCCAGCTGACGCTTCCACTTGTTGCGCCGGTTCTGGAACCAGATCTTCACCTGCGTCTCGGTCAGGTGGAGCGACGCAGCCAGACCGGCGCGCTCCGAGCTGGACAGGTAGCGCTTCATGTCGAACGTCGACTCCAGCTGGAACACCTGGCTGCGCGAGAACACGGTGCGTGTCTTCTTCTTGCGCCGGTCCTTGCCGTCGCGCAGGTCGTCGCCGCCGTTGCGGTCGTCGGCGTCGTCGACGGCCTCTGTCGGTGCCGACGGCAGAGCCGGTGACTTGCGGTCCGCTGCGCCGGGTGACGGTGGGTCTGGTGACAAAGAAACGAATGTTATTTTACATCAACGAGCGATATGAGCGATACCGAACAGATGTGACAGCTATGTTAGCGTTCATTCTGAAAATGATAGATGCGCTTATGCTTACGTAATATCTCGTGATGCTTTTGATGGCTGCAATCCGATGCAGAACCGCCGCAATTACCACAATCTATCAGCCTGTTTCACAGTGGCGTTAACTGATGCGACGCTTCGACGAAGTGTCATTCCGAGAATAACCGCTCGACACAAATCGTGTTCGAGCGGCGACATTTTCGACAGTCTCCATGCAGCATGCCCGCCCTGCACGGTCGCCGGGGAGTCCGCTTGTTATCATTCGCCGAATGCCCCTCATCGCCCATCACCACAAAGAAAAACAACCAGATACACCGCGGTTAATGCGACCCCCGGTGCTAATTAACTACCGCATCTCCTAGCACGCGTGCGCCGCGGCCCGCGGGGCACAGCCGCACAGTAAGCCAGCTCCGGCTCTCGTTATCATTTTGTCCGTAACGCACATCAGTTTTTGCGGCGACTTACGGCGTATCGCGGCACGGCGCGGCGCGGTATGGCACGGCGCACCGGCGCGCAACAGAAGGCGGCACGGTGCAGCACGTGGCGCGCACGCGGCGGTGCGATGTTTTACATGGCTGCACGAGCTGCCGGCACGTGCCGTCTCGTGGCGCAGACCCATCGCCGCCCCGCATCGCTCGCGTCGATACCGACTATCCCACACGCGTCGACGACCGGCAGCGCTCTGTTGTTTATTCGACAGATTCGAGGAGGCGGGATTAATCTAAAACCACGCGGCGAATTTTATGGGCTCTCTTCATTAAAGGGCGTATTAAATTCCCATTCAGGGCTTTTAACATCATGTGGGGGCCGATGGCTTTTTGATAGAGATGATAATCACGCTCTACCGAGGGAGGTGCTTCGCTGTCGGCGAATAAAGGTTCGGCACGAATTAATCTGGTGGCTCGGCGCGCTGCGACGTGTGGGGAGAGCGGCATTGGCCCGCGCCCCATTCACAGAGAAACCTGCTGGCCGATGTCCCTAGCCGGTGATTAGGCGACGGCGCATTCAGCGCTGATTCAGTACGAATTGCGCTCGCACCGCGCCGCAATGCGGATCTATCGGTGATGAGACTTTTTACATTAGCGCTCCCGACTTGTTGCTGAGCAGGAGAGGTAAAAGAGTCAAAGCGCAGCTCGTCAATTTATGACCGGGTTTATAGAGTAACGAGAAAAGATACTAAATTAGTGACGGTGACGCACGGCGCACGCTTTTACCTTTGAAATTGATAATAGCAGGATAACAATATCATTTCTTAATACATGAAATAAATGTCTCAAAATTGAATGTTCCCTACTGTGTTATTCCTGATAAAATTACAAAATGCATGCAAATGTGTGCCCACTTTACTCTAAATTCAACCATATGGTTGATAAATCCTTTTACTTTTAAATGCAAAACAATTTAATAATTTGAATGCTGTAAAACAAGTTCAGCAAGTGGCAAAAGGGATACACTTTCACTGACGTTTTTGTCGGAGTATTTTTAACCCTACCGAACCAATATCCGGCGGTCAAGCCCGTGATCGGGTTATCCCATCTGCTATCCCAGCCCGCTCCCAGTATCGCGTGTCAGTCTATCCCTGGAAAGGCTGGATCGGAGCCGATTGGTCGCCGCTCCTTCCCGTTAAATCAGTGGCGCACTGATCAGCCGGGCGGGTTTTTATCGGGGACCGGCGGTCTGCTGTCCTGTTGATCACCGCTGATCACTGTAGCTCACCGCTGTGGAGCGCTGCTGATTACTGTTGATCACTGTCAGTAACAGGAGTGGCCGCCGGCGGAGGAGCGCCGCTGTGACCCCATCAGTGCCCCGCGGCTCCGTAATCTGATTGGGTATTGAGCGGGGACTCTTCTGGGCCGATACCAGCGGTAATGAACAGGCTATCTTTGCTCAGTGGAGGATAAAGAGCGGTGCCGTCTCTTGACTTGGGATAAATTGGATCGGAAGACAACCATCCGGGTATACGTTTCCCTTTTAGAGAATGAAAAAATGTGGCCCCTAATTGGGCACCTTACAAAATATGAAACATCCAGGTGATAGAATGGCCATTTGTACATAGCAATGTGCTTATTTTATGCATGAGTTCTGATCTCAGTCTAGCATTACTACTCGACACAACAAACGACATACGAAATTTACACAATTGAGTTTCAAATTAAGTCGCTTTTAAATATCTGTCATGAGTGTCACTGAGTGTCAGCCCTCAACCACCGAGTATCACCCTTCACTTACTGAGTCCCATCACCCACTCACAGCCGCCCCCTCCCGCACCGTCCACCCCATCCATACCTGGCGAGTGGGCGTGCAGTGGCAGCCGAGCCGGGTGGACGGGCGGCGGCTGGGCGGGCACATGACCGGCGGGAGGCCACACGGCCTGCCAGGGGAACGGCTTCCCCAGCACATCACATCCGGTCAGGTACGGATATCGGGCGGCCAGAGAGCCCAGCTGCAGGAACCCGAACCTGAGGGCACGGGGGAACATAGGGGAGATAGGTGTCAGCGCTGGGTTCGGGCCAGAACACACAGGAATCACGGAGGCTTCAACGCTGGATCCGAGCCAGAACGCACAAGTAGGAACACAAGAAGCGAATGTTGTACCACAGGATTCAAGCCAGAACGCACAAGGGGGAACATCCAGGGGAGCGTAAGTTTCAGCAGTGGATTCGAGAATGCATTCTTAGGGGGAACAAAGGGACGTGTAGGGTGTTATTACTGAATGGACTTAGCACGCGTGATGAATAAACGACATTTCCGGTCACAAATTGAATCACATCGTCTTCTGAAACATCATTTGAAAGTTTTAAAAGCAAATGTGCACGGAACGACTGAATGCTCTCGACTGACGAATAGTTTCAACTGTGCCGCAATTCGGTACTCAGACCTCATAACGTGCATCTGGTTGGTAAAAGAAGGCTTACGAAAGTTTGAGTATGTACTTCTGAATATGCCAAGTCTCTGATGAAAGGACTACTTGTGTGCGAAATTCTCGATAGAAATAGTTCAGGTGTTGCGGCAGAGATTTGTAGATTTTTGCATGCAATTTAATATTAATGGTCTGAAGCTATTAGGCGGAAGGCCTCTGAAAGCGACAACTTAACGAGTAATCTCTCAAGTTCAGAGCGTTGGCCCGACGGTGTTTAAAACTTTCTGGTGCTTTATCACGGGCCACGGCTGAAGCATCCGCATCAGTGGGTAAGTAACGAACCAAACTATTATAAAGTGAGCGACGTCTTCTGACAAGTTGGGAAGGATGAGGTAAAAACAATCACTTCAGCAGGACAACCTTTGATCGAGGAGTCATTTAATCAAAGTGAACGAAATATACGCGCTGATGATGTTCGTGTTGAACAAAAAAAAAAAAATCATAATTTCTGGATTACACAACTGACAAAATGTGCATCACCAGGCTTTTCTTTCAAATCATCTGACACTTTCGAAACTGACCAAAATAAAAAGATGTCGGCAAAATAGATTGTTTGATGAAAGGTATTTGTTTGTAGTAGGTGCCATCTAAGCATTAGTGCTTGTAGGATTATTTAGATGAGAAAGGCCTGTTGCTTGGCTATTTCCCTTTTTATCCCGCAGGTCAGCATCTGAGGTCACCTGGCATAATAATTTGTGCAATGAGCATTTGAAACGAGAAAAACAAGCCACCATTTAGATCTTGTCTGGATCAAATTTTGAAAAGAGTGAGCCTTATGCATGATAAATGTTCCACCTTGCGCATACGTCTATCCGAAAATGTCTCTGATTGACAAAAAAAAGCAATAGCCCTTTAGCATGGCAAGGAAAACACTACATACATACACACAAACGGTTGTTTTACAGCAAGCGTTGCAAGTGAATGGAGCTCGGCTCGAGCCGCTCCGACGGTAGCTATTTGATCTTGGCGGAAATTGCCAGCAATCGGTTAGTCTCTGGCCCCCTAAACCTGGTTTTCCGATCGAATGGCATGGAGGCTAGGGCTTGGAGGACTTTCTGTTGACTTGATCATGACGAATCGTTTCCAAAATAGCAGGAAAATTCAAAATACGGTTACGGTGCACATTGCCCCAACAGACGGTAAATAACTTTTGAAAATACCAATTTCCAATTTTAGTGTTTTCTGGACCAAAATTTTGCGAGGAATCCGATGGTGTGGTCCCCGAAATCTGAAAAATTTCCATTTTGGAGATAGCACCTATTTTTTGAAAAATAAATATTCGTCAGGCTTAATAGTCAAATAAATTGGAAATATAATGAGTTAATTTTTGTAACAACACTAGAATGTGTCGAACATGAATCAGAGATATATTTTAGCTGAGATGATACTATATCTGCGCATACATGTACATGAACTAGTACATTAACCCTCGTCGGCCCAGAAGGGGTGGGGCGGGTGCCGCCTAATAGGGCTTTTCGCGATAGCTTAAAACTCGCTTAGGGTAGACAGCTGAAACTTGGCATACCTAATCTTTTATTCAAGCTGGATCTTTTGACCTCAACTGCGTTTTCAGGTCAGGTCAGGTCACTGACCTATGACGTCATAAATGAGCCTCTGCGAGGTCCTCAGATGTTGCAACTTTGCAACGCCCTCAGTGCCAGAGGAACTTTCACAGGAAGATAAAACTTACAGGACGTAGTATCCTTCAGAGGTCTCACAACTTGAATATCTCGGATTTAACCTAAATGTCACATGAGGTCAGGTCGGTCACGTGACCTCACCATTATAAGTCAATGGGGGAAATACGAATACTGTTATTTTGGCGCCGTAATGATCTAAAACTATCCCAAGCACATGAAATCGTGGTTTCATGATCGGACCTTACAAAGAGTACATGAAACCACGATTTCATGTGCTTGGGACAGTTTTAGATCATTTCCGGCGCCAAAATAACAGTTTTCATATTTCCCTATTGACTTATAATGGTGAGGTCACGTGACCGACCTGACCTCATGTGACATTTAGGTTAAATCCGAGATATACAAGTTGTGAGACCTCTGAAGGATACTAAGTCCTGTAAGTTTCATCTTCCTGTGAAAGTTCCTCTGGCACTGAGGGCGTTGCAAAGTTGCAACATCTGAGGACCTCGCAGAGGCTCATTTATGACGTCATAGGTCAGTGACCTGACCTGACCTGAAAACGCAGTTGAGGTGAAAAGATCCTGCTTGAATAAAAGATTAGGTATGCCAAGTTTCAGCTGTCTACCCTAAGCGAGTTTTAAGCTATCGCGAAAAGCCCTATTAGGCGGCACCCGCCCCACCCCTTCTCGGCCGGCGAGGGTTAATGTACTAGTTCATGTACATGTATGCGCAGATATAGTATCATCTCAGCTAAAATATATCTCTAATTCATGTTCGACACATTCTAGTGTTGTTACAAAAATTAACTCATTATATTTCCAATTTATTTGACTATTAAGCCTGACGAATATTTATTTTTCAAAAAATAGGTGCTATTTCCAAAATGGAAATTTTTCAGATTTCGATGACCACACCATCGGATTCCTCGCAAAATTTTGGTCCAGAAAACACTAAAATTGGAAATTGGTATTTTCAAAAGTTATTTACCGTCTGTTGGGGCAATGTGGGTGGAGAGACAACAGAAGCCGTTCTAAAACCCCTTAGGTGCGTTTGCCTGCTATACGAGTATGTATAGTTTTCAATAGGTGAATGAATGCCAACAGATGCATTCCCATCTGAAACGTCCTGCCTAGGAAAACGACTGAAAACGTTGACGCATTATGTTGCAGTGGATGGTATAGGCATTGATGGCAGTGCGCGCTGTGCAATCTTCGCTACCAATGTGTCACCTCCCGTCCACGATCGTTTTGTGTCCGGTGAGATGAAACGTAGCATCGAGTGTCGCCATGATTGTGTCATGTTATGATATACTGACGAATAAAGTTATATACCCAAAAAGGACGCATTATGTTGCATGTAGTCAAAATCTACAGGAATTACTCAATTATCTCTTCTCAACTAGTTCACCGTGGCACGATGCTTGCTTACGTTTACAGAGTCAGATAGGATCCGACTGAATAGGAGATTAAAACTGTGCATTCTGTTTACGGTCGGTTTCTGACGCGTGGAAGAGCTTAGCGAGCGTATCGGACAGACCATCAACCCTGAATGGCAGTGTGTATCATGTAACATACCGATACCTACCTAACGTTACAGACCACCTTCATCTATCGGTGTGTAAGGCTATTGATGCCATCAAGCATGCGATGAGGAAATTGCATGTGGAAAATGGCATCTATCAAAAATACGTATGAATCCTTTCATAATTCGTTTCGGTAGATGTCTTTCATTGAAAGTGCGGTAGCAGCTGCTTGTGATTTGATACCATACCTGGACATCATTTATTATTAATTTTATTGTTGTTTGACATGGCTATATAATGTTGCAATAATTTGTTCCCATATTTCAAAGATATCTTGTCAAGAAACAAAACTAAGAGGCGATGACTTTTCATAATGTGCTACATAATGTGTATATATAACCTCAGCATTCGAGTGATATTTATTTCACGGAGATTATAAAAATGAAGACTTATCATAGTTGATAGTCATCAGTTACTGCATGTTATTCGCACTAAATAATCAAAAACAATGAGCGCGGTTTGCTGTCGGTTAGTACGTTTATGAGCGTCACGAATTTATTGCGGAGAAGTGTGTTCTCTATTGAAACAAATAATTGTACTGCAGTCGGCAAACACGGGACCCTCCCATACCCCTTGGGTAGCCTTGATAGTGAGGCTGTTAATAGCCGTTTTCAGGACGGTCATGTGGTATAAATTTGATGCAAATTAGATGCATATTAGGCTCAGATTGACGTAGATCTGGTCAAAGTAGGTACGTTGTGTTTCTTAAAAGTTAAAATTATCAGTTTGGGTTGCACAGATGCTAATATACCTCATTTTTAAGATCATCAGGCATTTTTGTCTATTGAAACACTGAAATAGGCTCATGGTATGAAGATATTTGTTGAAAAAGAGAGTTGGTGTGGATTTGGTCAAATTTGGTGAACTCGCCAGATAGCCCGTCGTGAAAACGGCAGATGAGACACATTTGCTCCTAGGTAACGTAGAATGTGCAGGTTAAAAGAGAATCTTGCAGGAATCGCAAACATTCTTACAAACATTCATACTAAAGCACCTCTCATAACATGGCTGGAAGGATATTGAAGTCATGAAACATTATTTGCAGGCAATTATTATAGCATCAGCATTCAGCATATGAATCGCTGATGCGGTCTCATTTTGCTCATATCTGCGCGACCAAGATACCAGCCTTCAAACAGTTCTGAAAACTCGACCATCAAGCGCTCGATCCTAACCTGGCTGACTCACAAGTCACAAGGTCTGACACAATTCCACAACACCTTTGCCCTCATCATGATCAACATCAGCCAGACCATCACCACCCCGCTCACCTGGCGGCCGCCGCCGCGTCCAGCAGCTTCTGCGTGTCATCGAGCCTCTCTCGCACCGGATCGGAGCGACTGAGGATGTCCGAGATGCTGAACGACTTCCTCTCGGGCCGCGGGCTGACCTCCGGTGACCTGGCGTGCTCCTGCACCGCCGGGGGTGACGGCGAGCGCGAGCCCAGCGGGCTCTCACAGACACTGCGCGGCGATCCGGGAGCCGACATGACCGCTGCCGCCGGCGTTCGCACGGAAAATAGCGCGGCGATCGGCGCCGCCGCTTGTGCCGCCAACCTTTCTATTATTTCTGTATTGCCGTCGGCCGAGCGGCGTGTCCCCGCCCACCAACGGCGATCGGCCCACAGGCTCCGCCCCCCGATGATGACGGCATTGATTGGCGGTGGGAGCCGCGCGCTGATTGGTCGGCGGCGAAAAGAGCGCTGACGCCGATTAGCGGAGGATCGTCGGCAGGTCTAATTATGTCGAACACGGGGCGGCAGTAATCAGGGCGGCTGGCGGCGCTGGCGGGGAGCACGGAGCCACCCCCGGCTGCCCAGAGGCCTGGCAGGTCGGCCGGGTCGGCGGGGTCACCAGAGACCGTCTGTGGCCGACTCTATTGATCCCGCCGACCAGAGAGCGGCGATCAGTGGTGCACTGTGCAGCGATCAGTGGCGCACTGGACGTACTGTGACGATCTCATGGCGCATAATTCCAAACAGTGAATATGTAGAAAGGTGGCAATGACAGAGACATGCCAAACGTCACCCCAGCTTTTACCGCTTTTACCTATGTAGCGCTGAGTTGAAACTTCGCCCCATAAGATTGAAAAGCCACAATGTTTATACTAGTCATAGTACCCTCAACAATAGATGACATTTACTATTCGATAATCGCGCTAGCATTCACTTTGAAGTTTGATCTGCCATGTTGTACGTTATGTGAACAGATAACAACTATTTAAATGCATTTGTTCTATGACCATTAAAAAGGCTTAAATGATTACGTATATGTACTAGCAATTTTCACGACGGCTATCTGGTACATATTTGGTGCACATCAGGTGCAGATTTGGTGCAGATTTGGTCAAATTAGGCTCATTGTGTTTCTCAGAAGTTATCGGTTTGGGTTGCACAGTTACATGCCTGATACTTGATTTGATTTTTCAGATTATCAGACACTATTTTAGAAGAAAACACTGAAATAAATTCATGATACGAAGGTATTTGTTGTAATAGCGATTTGGTGCAGAGTTGGTCAGTTTTGATACACTCGCCAGGTAACCCATCGTGAAAACGCCTTCTATGTACATACATAGTATACTTACTTACAGGCTATAGCGATAAGTGGGCAAACTTCATTTGCTTCAGGACAGTCCAGTGAGGCAGACAGACGAGCGAGCGCAATAGTGAGCAGTGAACGTGTGCAAGTGCGATGCAAGATCCCCCCCCCCCCCCTTACTTGTGTGGGCCACCTTTTTGTTCGACCCAAATGACGGTGTAGTAACTTTAAGCGCAATTTGCCCAACCATTTTTGAAATGTAAAACCAGCCCTCTGCACGTGTGCACGCGTGCACGTGCAAAGTAATCCCTAACTGATTTGTTTCAAAGACTCTTCTCATCGGTTCCAAAAGTGCTCCAAATTTGAGCGCAATTGGCCCAAACCGTTCTCTATAGGTATAGACACGGGGCGACGCCTGTACGTGCGCAAGTGCATTAGCACTCCACTGTGATCAACGTGCCTAAAAATGTAGTTCGGTAAACTTTATTCGGTTTCGAGGGCTACGTCTTCCGTGCAAAGATATCATTCACTGATGCAAGCTGCAGGCCGTATGTTTAGGCTCATTGTTGCACGAGTAGACATAGCAAAATGAGTTTTCTTATTCAAAACAAATTAAGATTGCTGCGAAATGTTTAACTACTAATGAAATCGTTGACCGTTACAGGTCACTCAAAACCAATAATCGGGTTCCACCTACGCCAGCGATGGATATATGTAGAAATAAACTGAACAGCGAAAACGATGATAAAGGAGTACCATCCCAGTCGCTATCAGTGTTGTGCCTATTGTGTTGAAGAAGTGCTTAATTTGTACGAATGAGCTCTTGGGTCATACATTTTTGTATATCGTATTCACTATTCATCATAAGTAGCGGCGGAACACCTTCAATTAAGGGGGGGGGGGGCACCGCCGACTTTTGGTCCCATTCCTTCCATGCAACGGAAAGATGCATGGAAATGTTAAAATGGCAAAACCTAGGGGGGGGGGGCACCGTACCCCGGTGCACCCCCCATTCCGCCGCCTATGGCCTCAGCTCTTACATCTTTGTATATTCTTTTTTACATTTTTATAGCTCTTTTCCTTAACCATTCGGCCTTATAACCCTATAGTATATACCCACATACATACCTTTACATTTTTTATATCCTGATGAAAGGCAAGACGAGGCTCGCTCATTTTCAGATCGAGCGCTCTGCCGTTCTGCACCTAGCTGAGCAGATTGGCAACACTCACGCTACGTCGTGCCCGTTCTAAGGCACTAGACGCCTTTTAAACCTCATTGCAGTCCATTACTGGATTATCCCAGCATTTCTTATTTAGACAGCTATGCTCCACCACCCGTGGCAGTGAGCGACCTGAAGTGACCTTTAGGAATGTAATAATGTGATTGGGATTCTTGGTAAGGCGTGAATGTAAACAGTCACATGTTCCTTGGCTGAATGTCGGATTACCATGCGATGCAGTGCGATTTGCTAAATTACTTATCGCATGCATACTTCCGTTCATACGGCGGAACAAGCATGAACTAAACAGCCCTTAGATGCTATCCTTTAAATTCCCAGTTCACATCCGGCATTTTTGGCGGATCCAAAAAAGCGGTGCTGGATGCTGCGGTGGCAATCCCCCGAAAGTTCCTCCAAATTTCAAGAACTTCTCGGATTTTGCTTGCATATGCGTTGTTGTATGTACAGTCTCAACAGTGCCTTCTAGATTTTGTTTTCTTTGTGCAATGTCTATTCGACATAAACGGTAAATTTCCAATTGATTTCGTTAGTTGGAGAGGAAGAAAAGCATGTGTTGCAAATGTTCTCTCTTGGCTCCACTGGTGCCCGTCATCACATTTGATTAATCTTGTTACGAGCGAGCGAGCGCAGCGAGCGAAGTGAGTCTTTTCAATATAACGGAAAAATCTCAGTATGAGCGGCCCGGCCCGGCCCGGCCCGGCCTGTAACGCTTTTGAGAGGCTTATATCTCAGCAACCGCTGGACCGATTGGCCTGCAGTCTTTTTTGTTGGGTAGCCCCATCCCTTCTACCCCGTAATTGACTACTTTTGATACATCTCAGTGACCGTCGTGGCACGTGCCACGTGAAAAGTCAAGGGTGTTCAAGCTGTTTTGCAAAAGTAGTGATTTTGAGAGGCTCATATCTCAGCAGCCGCTTGGGCGATTGACTTGCGGTAATTTTTGTAGGGTAGCAGCATCCCTTCTACCCAAAATAGGATACTCTCGATGCATGTGGGTCACCCCCAGTGCACGTGCAAAATACAACAATAAGAGATGCCAAATTTGTTCCCATTTCAGTAACTCGGTAATTACTGGGGCGATTTCGCTGAAACTTGGCATACAGGTAGGCACCCACCAGGCAATGCATTCCCATGTGTTGCGGTTAGGGTGCTACTGCACGTGCGCACGTGCAGGGGGCGTTTCCAGATCTCGAGAACGGCTGGGCCGATTGCGCTCAAATTTGGTACACGGTTGGGGACCAGTTAGTAGGGTGCCGTGCAAAAGTCATTTTGGACCCCGTTTGCACGTGCGCACGTGCAGAATGCCGCTTCCAGATCTCAGGAACGGCTGGGCCGATTGCGTTCAAATTTGGCACACCGCTAGCGACCAGTTAGAAGGGTGCTTTGCGCAAGCCCGTTGGAAGCACCCTCTCGCCCTTCCGCACGTGCAGGGCTCACTATCTCACTCGCTCGTTCTTCGCCCAAAAGGCGTTTTACTGGTAATAATAACGTCGGCCAGCAGTAGGTTTGAAGTCATGCTTAGCTTTATTTCATTGTTTATACAAATAAATTTATATTCATTCATTACTTTATATTCATAACAGCATACATATATTTCGTTTACAGTCAGAGCAGCTCAGCACACACCCTCGTGACGTATCCGGCCCAGAAAGTCAGTGGCCATCTCCGTTGCACCATTACCGACAGGATCGCTAACAGCATTACCTGGCCGGATCATTATCCGGCCAATTATCGGAGCCATTACCATTACGGGTGACATGTCAGCTCGTCGCGACCGACAGACCCTCCCCCTCCCCCCCCCGCCTCTCGGTGCCGAGCTCCAGGGAGCTGCTTGCCTTCGACGGGTCTGCCTCCTCACCTATCCGACTAATACGAGTGCACTAATGAAATGCACCTCGGGGACAGATGCATCCTCGTTTGGCGCTGTAGAAGCCGAAGGATAAGTGATGGATGAAATTGAAAGACGCCGACTAGATAGCACGTTAATCTAGCCTAATGCGAAAGGCAGATCAATCTTATACAAGCCACTGTTTATGGTGATGGGGTCGGGCCGCCGTAGGGTGACGCCATTGCCGAGATAGCGGACGCCATGTCAGCTTAAACGCTGCCAAATTGCTGCCATATAACGGGTGCTCGTAAAAGTCGAGGGAATTCTGGCAAAAGTTGGGCGGTATGCAGCGCTCAGCCTTTAATTAAACGGATTTGGGGAGATTGTGAAATGGGCGTTTATGCTCAAGGGGAATTCGGCTGCGGGGGTTTCATTCACATTAGATCTAGAAGTTACTAAACGGTGCGCATAATTTGACAAAGAAGTTAGCCCGAGATTTCGAGATGAGTTTAGGGTAGCAATAATAGAGTCGACTGCAGTGTTGTTTAATTTCGGATGTGCTGATTGCGAACAATAACTTAACATTCACAAAGCTTTCACACACTATGTGGCAATTTACACTCTGCTTTCGTAATCTGGATCGTGAACGCCATTCAAAGACTGCAAACAAACAACTGAAATAATGGATTTAGTCAGTGAGAGAACTGAAAGCACGCGTCGTTAACGACTTGCCCCCTTGGAATTCGCAGTATCATCTCATAATCTGTCCGCGGCGTCACGCATCCCTCCTAATCACCGCCACGAAACAATGCGCCCTCGAGCGGCGCGCACACGCCGCGTACACTTCATCTCGTGCCAGCGTCGCTTTGCCAACCAACGCGTAAAG